ACGGGCCGATCATGTTCAAAATGCGGCCGCGTCTCAAGGTGCTGTACGGAATCAGTGGGCTTCGTGCGGGAGTAGTAGTAGATGCGCTTCCAAAAAACAAGAAGGGGCGCACGAGGCAGCTGCCTGCCGGGTAGCGCACGCAAAAAAGGACAAAGACAAAGATCTCCCGTATAGCCTGTAGGAGACTGTTGGGACAAGTGCTTAGCGAGCACCTATGAAGGTTGCGCATACAGTACACGCACACAACGTTTTCCCACGTCGGAATGCATATCCGCACACCAGTGGATTCAAACCGCATAGTAAAACGAAACTTGTGTCGAAATAGGTGAGCGAAATCGCACAAACCGAACCCGCATAAAGCGAGGGAAACACGTGTATCGCCAGACAGAGGCAGTGGGACTCATATCCAGAGGAATAAAGGGTTTGAACCTGGACTTGAACTGGGCGTGAACAGGCAGCCGACAGCACGGAGGGCTGGCGAAAGGGAGTTCCAGCCTCGGGGTTAGACCGCCCTACCGTGCCGCTCACGTTGAAATGCGCCTTCGCGGTCACCGTTGTCGAATGACTCAATACGAAAATAGCTGTCAGCACGCACAATAACGCGGCACCAGCCTCGTGCAGCAGCCCCCCCCTGCCCCCCCACCCCCCACGCGCGCGCTCGGTAACACGAAACATCCCAGCAGGAGCTGTTGACTGAACTTCTCATCTGCCGCTCGCAACGACAGAGGCCCTCCCCCCCTCCCCACCGCGGCGTCCGCGTGGATGCCCATCTACGTTGAACCCGCGCCGTGTGTCGTCACGAGCAGCGGTGGTGCGGAGCGGTGGCGCAGCGGTGAGCGGCGCTGCGCTTTTGGAACCCGGCCCCCTCGGGTTCGATTTTTCGCTCACGGCCACCAACACCCCCAACCCCCCACGATTTAGCACGGGTTGGGTAGGTACGGTGCGAAAGAGGTTCAACATACGTTCATACATACCAATGACGATTATCTGAACCGGTCCTGGGCCTCGCGTAGGTCGACTCAGCCTTTAATGAGTACCTGGTGCGGTGTGTAAAACATCGCTACTGGGGAGACAAAGGCGGTCGGGCGTGGTGCTGCACATAGACTCAGCACTGCAACATAAACTCAGCACTGCCCATAGACTCAGCACTGCCCATAAACTCAGCACTGCCCATAGATTCAGCACTGCCCATAGACTCAGCACTGCCCATAGACTCAACACTGCCCATAGATTCAGCACTGCCCATAGACTCAGCACTGTCCCATAGACTCAACACTGCACCATAGACTCAACACTGCACCATAGACTCAACACTGCCCACAGACTAAACACTGCACCATAGACTCAACACTGCACCATAGACTCAACACTGCACCATAGACTCAACACTCCACCATAGACGCAACACTGCCCATAGACTCAACACTACCCATAGACTCAACACTGCACCATAGACTCAACACTACTAAATTTAATCACGTGATTTTATTTTATTTTAATTTAGTCTTTTTAATTTATTTTATTTTATTTATAGTTTTACCTACGTGACTTTACCGAAAAAACCAAAGAGTATGAATCCTTGCAGTCACGAAAGCTTCAAATCTAGAATTACTGCCCATAGACTCAGCACTGCCCCATAGACTCAACACTGCCCATAGACTCAGCACTGCCCATAGACTCAGCACTGCCCATAGACTCAGCACTGCCCATAGACTCAACACTGCCCTATAGACTCAACACTGCCCATAGACTCAACACTACCCACAGACTCAACACTGTCCATAGACTCAACACTGCCCCATCGACTCAACACTTTTCACAGACTCAACACTGCCCATAGACTCAACACTGCCCATCGACTCAACACTGCCCACAGACTCAACACTGCCCATAGACTCAACACTGCCCCATCGACTCAACACTTTTCACAGACTCAACACTGCCCATAGACTCAACACTGCCCATCGACTCAACACTGCCCACAGACTCAACACTGCCCATAGACTCCACACTGCCCATAGACTCAGCACTGCCCCACAGACTCAACACTGCCCATAGACTCAGCACTCACCCTATCGACTCAACACTGCCCATAGACTCAGCACTGCCCACAGACTCAGCACTGCCCATAGACTCCACACTGCCCCATAGACTCAGAACTGCCCATAGACTCAACACTGCACCATAGACTGAACACTGCCCATAGATTCAACACTGCCCATAGACTCAACACTGCCCCATAGACTCAGCACTGCCCATAGACTCAGCACTGCCCATAGACTCAACACTGCCCCATAGACTCAACACTACCCATAGACTCAGCACTGCCCCATAGACTCAAGTTGAGTCTATGGGGCAGTGCTGAGTCTATGGGTAGTGTTGAGTCTATGGGGCAGTGTTGAGTCTATGGGTAGTGTTGAGTCACTCAACACTACCCATAGACTCAACACTGCCCATAGACTCAGCACTGCATCATAGACTCAACACTGCCCATAGACTCAACACTGCCCATAGACTCAGCACTGCGCATAGACTCAGCACTGCCCATAGACTCCACACTGCCCATAGACTCAACACTGCCCTATAGACTCAGCACTGGCCATAGACTCCACACTGCCCATAGACTCAGCACTGCCCATAGACTCAGCACTGCCCATAGACTCAGCAGTGCCCATAGACTCCACACTGCCCATAGACTCAACACTGCCCCATAGACTCAGCACTGCCCCATAGACTCAGCACTGCCCATAGACTCAGCACTGCCCATAGGCTCAGCACTGCCCATAGACTCAGCACTGCCCATAGACTCAACACTGCCCCATAGACTCAGCACTGCCCCATAGACTCAGCACTGCCCATAGACTCAGCACTGCCCATAGACTCCACACTGCCCATAGACTCAACACTGCCCCATAGACTCAGCACTGCCCATAGACTCCACACTGCCCATAGACTCAGCACTGCCCATAGACTCAGCACTGCCCATAGACTCAGCAGTGCCCATAGACTCCACACTGCCCATAGACTCAACACTGCCCCATAGACTCCACACTGCCCATAGACTCAACACTGCCCATAGACTCAACACTGCCCCATAGACTCCACACTGCCCATAGACTCAACACTGCCCCATAGACTCAGCACTGCCCATAGACTCCACACTGCCCATAGACTCAGCACTTCCCATAGACTCAGCACTGCCCATAGACTCAGCAGTGCCCATAGACTCCACACTGCCCGTAGACTCAACACTGCCCCATAGACTCAGCACTGCCCCATAGACTCAGCGCTGCCCATAGACTCAGCACTGCCCATAGGCTCAGCACTGCCCATAGACTCAGCACTGCCCATAGACTCAACACTGCCCCATAGACTCAGCACTGCCCCATAGACTCAGCACTGCCCATAGACTCAGCACTGCCCATAGACTTAACACTGCCCTATAGACTCAGCACTGCCCATAGACTCAGCACTGCCCATAGACTCAGTATTGCCCATAGACTCAGCACTGCCCATAGACTCAGCACTGCCCATAGACTCAACACTGCCCATAGACTCAACACTGCCCATAGACTCAGCACTGCCCATAGACTCGACACTGCCCATAGACTCAACACTGCGCCATAGACTCAACACTGCACCATAGACTCAACACTGCGCCATAGACTCAGCACTGCCCATAGACTCAGCACTGCCCATAGACTCAACACTGCCCATAGACTCGACACTGCCCATAGACTCAACACTGCCCATAGACTCAGTACTGCCCATAGACTCAGCACTGCCCATAGACTCAGCACTGCCCATAGACTCAGCACTGCCCATAGACTCAGCACTGCCCATAGACTCAACACTGCCCATAGACTCAGCACTGCGCTCACTCCTCACCGTCCCTCCCCGACCCTTTCGTGATCCCTAAGCACCCAGTCTCTGGCTGTCACTCATCCCTCAGTCCTTGTCGAGATCATTCCATTCTGCCCCCGTTTTGTGAACTCTGTGAAGCGCCTTGAGCAAAGGCACTCTGCAAGGGCCGTCCAGATGTCTTGTGCCCCCACCCCCCCCCCCTCCATTTAATTCTCTAAAACCTAATATTGTTTCGTATTCCAACGGGTGCGAAAATAGAAGTGACTAAGCGAAGGAAACCAAAATGTGAGGGGTCAACCAATTTGGGGGCTCACAAGATAGCAGCTGTACCACCACCACCACCACCCTCTCTCTATGTCAGATGAGATGAAGTGTGCTGTGGGCAGCACGCGCGCTCCGCTCGAAGGTAGGATGGTCGTTGATTGGAGCCCAATGACGGAGCGGCAGCCAATGGGGTGGAGCGCTCCTCGACGGGAGAGTTCAGTTCATTTCAGAGAGTCGCCTTGGAGATGGGAGGGTGAGATCTGCTCGCGTGCGGGCGCTCTCAGACGTGGATCTTTCCATCGCAAGACGATCACAGATGTCGAATAGCTGGGGAGGGGGGGGGGGTGAGTCCTTCATCCAGCAGTTGATAGATCATCACCGATGATGAGTAGGATGATGGATCATACTCATCATCGGCTAGCGCTACGCTGCGCTACGAAATCGGCGTCCCGAGTTCGATTCCCGCTCACGGCCAACACCGGTGACGATGATTAAAATCGGTCTTGGGCATCCCCGAGGTCGACTCAGCCTAAAATGAGTACCTGGTGCGGTGTGTAAACATCGCCACTGGGGGAGACAAAGGCGGCCGGGCGTGGTGTTGGCCACCCACCCCCTCGTGTGCCGTGCCGGCCTTCATAGGTGCTCGCTAACAGCACTTGCCACAACAGTCTGTTATGGCTGTATGGGAAATCTTTTTGTATATATATAGACAAAGAACCCCCGTATAGCCTTAACGGACTGTTAGGGGCAAGTGCTGTTAGCGATGAGCGCCCGTGAAAGTTGGCAGGGCACACGTGGGGGTGGGTGGCGCTTTCGTCTCCCTCGTGCTATCAACGGCCACGCGCACAAACGCACAGTTCAGCGTGTGAGTGTACAGATTCAGTTAAAAGTTTATTCAAACATGTCTACAATTTACACGGACAATACAAAGCAGCCTGCTTTCCTCGACACACACACGGGTCGACACTTAACGCTCAGACGAGACACGAACGGGGGGCTTCTGATCGCCATAGTCGCACACCTAAAGCTCTTCCTTCCTCGTCACCAGCAACAGCAGAGCCAACACACGGGGGGAGGTGGGGGGGGGGGAATGTTCCGACTGTGGATGATGATAATGATGATGATCACGATGACACCGATGATGATGATGATGATGGGCTCACTCAAAATGATGCGGGATTTTAAGTAAAGGTTTTTTTTTCGTCTGATGTCGCCAAAACTGCTCAGGGCAGGTGTGATCGATGTCCCCGGCTGCGAGGAGGAGGGGGGAGGACCACTTTATTTAAGACAGCTGTGAAAACAAGATTACTCATCTTGACGAATGTTCATTTCCATCAGATTTGTTTAGCGGTTTGGGGACGGTAATTTGTCGTCCCATCAAAACGGTTTCCTCAAATACGTATGGGGGGTGGGGGGGGCGGTGTTCATGCCCACTGACGACACTGAGCCCGTGGTGACAACTCCACATTCGTATGGCGGGGTCTTCAATTTAATTGTAACAAAAAAAAGTTTTCGAATAGAAAGTGACAATTTGCTCAGAAAAATGCTCTCCAAGTCTCACGACTCTTGTCAGGAGGGCCCCGTTCAGGAATTTCGAGCCAAATTTCTCGCCGAGAATTTTTGAACGTCGGGAGGAAATCCTAAGCAGCGTGCCTCGAGAAAACCCAACATTGCAGGGTAAGACGCTCAAACGTTTTGGCGAGCAACCCACTTGCTGTACCGTCACGTCGCCCTGTGGGTGGGTGTATCTCTGGCATGAGATCTCAGCGCGTTTCACCAACCCCAAAGTCTTTGGATTACGGGCATACGCACCGCCTTCCCGTAAAAAGCCAACCTCTCCGCGTGTTATCCTTTAAAAAAAATACGAAACGTAAATAAATACTCGGGTTTGTCAACCTCACTTTTAACGAAAAACCTTTCAGCGCGATGTGTGTGTATAAATACGTTTAACACTTAACACCTTTCCACAACAACCCCTCGCTTTCCAATGAGATTATTTTCACTCCGTTTCAGAGCCTCGAATGAGTAAAATTTCACGTTTTAAAAAATATCGTTTATACGTTTTTGTGTGTGTGTGTGGTTTATTTATTGAAAACTGTGTTGTTCAAACGGGTTTCTTTTTAAGACCTGGTGGTGCCCTCCCACCCCCTAACTTCTCAGCAGCGGCGGCAAGGTAATGCAAGCTCAAGGGTGGACTCTGATAGCCATCATTTAATTTGTAACCGCCAAGGTACCCACGGTAAGTAGCGAGCGATTGTGTTGCATACGCTGAGGGCACCAGAGTTCCATTCGCTCACATGATCCATTTCGACGGATGGCCGTTATCTTTTGTTTAACAAAACGACCCCCCCCCCCACCCATATGTTTTATTTAATGAGATAAAGAACAGCTACACAAAAAAACCCACCCGGCTTGCACAATTATTCTCAGCTTTACCTCCGCACAGATTTGTTTCATGATCGAATTTCGCGTTTTGGCTCCGTGTGTTTTGTGTGCGCGCGTGTGCGGACCGCGTTATCTCCGACGCGGGGTTCGACGCGGTGACCTCGGGACTGATTGAATAACGAGCGCGGGTTAACATGCCAGCACTGATCTCCAATTAAGATTACACTTTTGAGCAAATGGGTCCCATTGCGCGGAGACATGAGAGAGGGGATATGTTGCAAAGGGGGGGTCAGGAGGATGTTTCTTTGCCGATGTAACAATGCCGGCGGTCGTTGCAGAATGATCCCAAGGCAAATTTCCCGTTGCCGTTTTTGACACAAATTGGCCGTCATTTCGTTGTCAGAGTGAAAAAATGTAATGTATTACAATTGCTTTCATTTGCAAAGTTTAAGGAACGCTGCTCGCTTTTGGGTTTAACGCATCGCTGCTCCGCAGACTGACACGAGATAAATGGCAGCCAAAAAAAAAGTTATTTTCTCCTGAAAGCCACACACGCACACACAAAAACTGTGGGATTGTGTGGTATTTACTTATATCACAAAGTGGTTACGCCGAATGATTTTTATTTGCATTGTGCATTCAACCCAGACGAGGTGATCCCACGGGGAGCGAAATGATGAAGGAAACGCCACCACGAGAAGAGCCGTTCACTCCAACACATAGCCTCCGTGTCTCAAGGAGAATTTCCCTGCTTCGCTATCCACTTGCAAATCACATCACTACCCCTTGCCAGCACACAGTGCAACCCCCCCTCCTTTTCACTCCCTTCCTCTTCGCGACAAAACAACTGCTAACACAAAATATCAGTAAGCCAAGGTTTCCCATCAAGTGAGGCCTACTGCAGGCTTTGGTTTTCTAGAACACAGTCAGAAGTAGTACAACCTAATAAATACTCGTATAAATATGACCCAATTATTGTGCCGCCTCCTTTGTGAGTGTTTAGCTTACAGTGGCAGCTGCTAAACAATTAAGAGAATTGTGGATAAAACCGGTGAAAAGCTTGGATGAAACTGAATCGCTGTCACCTCCACTGTTGGTTTCGTTCCCGGGTGCTAGAGAACAGCTCTGTAACCTGGGTTCATGTGCAACGTTTTCTTTGCTGGAAAGTCTCCAAAAAATGGAACCAGTCTATTGTAACAAAAAAACTAAAGAAAAATAGCGACAGTAATTGCAACGTCACCGGCAATAAATAAATGTGTAGCGTAACGGTGGTGATTTCACTGACCCGACCGAACACAAATGCCACTGTTTTTGCAGGAAGGAGTTGTTGTGGCTGTGAATGAGGCACAAGACAGGGGCTGATAGCGGTGCCGACTCAACGATTTTACAACTTTCACCTGGGAAACATTCACGAATTAAACACCATCTTTGGAGGAAACACCCGTGCAATTATCATCCAGTTCCAGGGTTGTCCTGTTGTTGTTGTTGTTGTTTTAAAAGAGAAAATGATTTTTTTCATAAGGTAATACAAAACATTGACAAAAGCTTCAACGGTTTTGTCCCAACACTGCCATGAACTAAAATTCTCGCAAATGTCTGCCCCCGCCTTGCCCGTCAATCTGGGCTCATAAAAAAAAAACTTTAAATCGTTACTTGACGAAGCTGCGATTCAAGATTTCTTTTGCATTCTCAACTCCGAACACAACGATTGCGAAAAGCTACCGTCTTAATTGGCCGAGGGTGATCTCGCAAAAGGCGCGGCCGAATGTGCTGCTGCTTCAATCCGAACAAAATTGTGGTCTCCCAAAATCCCGCACAATCAAATGCCATGAGTCGGAGTTATAGGCCCACTGTGCAACAACGAGACTGCCCCTGGAATGCTTGTGCGCTAATTGGCATGGCAAGTGACACAAAGGACACCCCGAACCCCCTGGGGAAGCCAAAGATAAATTCATCACAAACTGCGGAGGCCCTAAACGAAAGAAAAGGAATGAATGGATGGTGCTTGCTGAACTAAAAACTGGTCATATAAATAGTGAAATATACTTTATATATATTTACAGTACGCTACTTCACAATATACAGTTAAATGAAGCAATTTGGAAGGAACTTAAGCGAGAAACAAAAACGAAATTCTTTCAATTATTTCCTTTCACTTTAAAATATTTTTTTTCTCAAACATTTTCAAAAAGTTTTTCTCCTCCTCCTCCTCCTCCTTCTTCTTCTTCGAGTCATACATCGTGTTGTTGTTTTCCAGTTCGGGAAACTCTACCAATCATTGTGTATACATTGCACAGACGTGTGAATAATCGAGACTTCACGGAGTTTGGGGGGAGGAGGGGTGCATGTTGGAACTGTGGTGGCGGTGCGGGGGAGGGGGCGAGGGGGGGGGGGCGAGGGGGGGCGGGGGGCTCCACACTCCTGGGGGGGGTAGAGAAGTTGGGGGGCGCATCGAGGTAACACTCAGCCGGCAGCTCACAGCCTCTAACGACTCGCTCAGGAATGTGATTGTGAGTTGTGTACGTGTGTGTTGCACATTGATCTTCTTTCGCACCGCACGTAGCCAACCGTGCTAATCGTGTGTGTGTGTGGAGCGGTGGTGTAGCGGTTAGCGCTACGCTGCGCTGCGAATCTGGCGACCCGAGTTCGATTCCCGCTCACGGCCAACACCGGCGACGACTATCTGAACTGGTCCTGGGCCTCCCCCTAGGTCGACTCAGCCTCAAATGAGTACCTGGTGCTGTGTGTAAAAGCATCGCCACTGGGGAGACAAAGGCGGCCTGGCGTGGTGCTGGCCACCCACCCCTTCGTGTGCCGTGCCATCCTTCATAGGTGCTACTCGCTAACAGCACTTGGCCCAACATTCTGTAAAGACTATACGCGGGGGATCTTTCGCTTTGTGTGTACGTGTGTGGTTAGTAGGGTTGCCACCTCTACTGGCTATTCGCAGGATACTCTTTCTGCCTCTGCTTGAGGTAGCTCCTGTCCTGGAGAATTTGTCAGTTGCGTCGTAATCATGATAATGACAGCCACACCACTCCAGAAAAAAATGCATCTACACGTTTACAAATGCAATTTACTGCTTCTGGCACTGCGATGAATTCCTGTTACCACGATGCACCCGGGGTTTATTGCGCCTTAGAGGTGACAACCCGAGTGTGTCAGTGTGCCGAGTGCACATGTTGTACATCGTGCGTGCGTGCGTCTGCGCATATCCATCTGTCGTGGGTAGCAGTAGCAAAGTGGTTGGCACGCCACGCTACTAACCCGACAACCTGAGTTTGATTCCTGGCTACAGCTAACATCAGTGGGCGAGCGATGTTCGAACCAGTCCCTGGGCTTCCCCAGAGGTCAACTCAGTCTGGTGTGGTGTGTGGGGTGGGGGGTAAACACCAGCAATGGGGGGGGGGGGGGGGACAAATGTGGGCTGGAACCACCACCACCGCCTCGTACGTTGTGCTGGCCTTAATAGGCAATCACTAACAGCACTTGCCCTAACAGTGTATGAAGCTATACAAGGGTGGGGGAGGGGATCTTTGTCTTTGTGACGTCGATATCTCTGCATTGGCACAGCGCGTTAAGGGGGCGGTGAGACCAGGGGCCTCGCATTTCCCCATCGCCCTTCGCCTCCACCATTGCCGACGTTGCTCGACTTCGATCTCGAGGAAGCCCAAGTCAGAGTTCGTTTGCCGATCGCCCCCACCCCTCACCCCTCTGACGTGCCAGGCATCGGAGCGCGGTGTTGGCCTGGGGTCGTAGCGCAGGCTTCACGCAGGCGCTCGCCAATGACACTTGCCCCAGCAGCGGTCCGAGAGGCAGATCGGACGATGCTCATGTGCATGCGTGCGAGGGCGACGCTTCGCGTGCGTGAGTGACGAGCGCGCGCGTGTGACATCGACGCTTGCGTGTCGGTTTGTGTTTTTGTGTTTTTGTGTAGCGTGGCGGGTTCCGTGGTGAAGACGTCAAACGACGAGCCCCACCCAGGGTGGGTCCCAGTGCTGCTGCTGCTGCTCCGCTGTGCGTGGCGGCTGCGCTCGCGTGAACAAAATGAAAACCAAGTGAATGGTAAATTGCGGAACGGGAAGCGCGCGATTGGGCAGTCCCCAGTTTTTGCCGATGCAGTGGAATGTGGTTCGTCTTGCTCGGGCGTACGTCCTGATGGCGGGGAACCTCATCCCGCTAAGAGTTCTCCCGGTCTTCCTTCAACCACCCCCCCCGTCCCGTCCCGTCCCGCGATGGCGTTCCACGTTCCGTCTCAGTCGAGCAAATTCTCCGGCGCGGCGGAGACGTCACCGGCTTCGGTTGGGCGGCGTTTAGACTGACGGTGTTTTCTCCGCGTGGCGCAAACGAGAGCGATTCGTCACGGGGGGGGAGGGGGGGTGGTTTCGGTGCGGCCTGCGAGCGAGGCCTTTCCCTTCCTCCGCGCCGCCGTCAATAGACGCCATCATCGGCCTCGTCGCGATCGCCGTCACCGCCGTCGCCAACCGCCATCCACTGCTGGATGAAGCAGAAGCTCCCGCCTCGTTGGGTGTGACACCAACGCGGGTCGGAGACGAGCGGATAAGGAAGGCGGAGAGATGGGGAGAGAAAAGTAGACGGTACACGGAGTAGAGACGGAGTGATACGGTACACGGAGTAGAGACGGAGTGATACGGTACACGGAGTAGAGACGGAGTGATACGGGGACAGAGGCAGAGTGAGGGACATCGAGACACAGAGAGGCAGAGAGAGGCGAGTGAGAGAGGGGGAAAAAGAGCAAACAGAGAACGGGAGAGAGGAGAGTAGACCGACAGCTCCGTGCGTGATGCACAGACAAGCAACGAGACAGAGAGAGAGAAAGAGAGAGGCGGGGGGAAGAGCACAAGAAGAGAGAGCGTGACCTAGAGATGGACCGGAAGAGGTGATCGGTAATTCTTTGGTGGAGCGGCGAGGAGGTGCGACGACGCACACTGACCAGGCAGGGCAAGGGGTGGGGGGGGGGGGGGCAGGAGGGGGCTGCGCAGGGCGTGACGGGGCCTCTAGGAAGTGAAGTAAGAGCTCTGCATGGAGTAGAGGCGGTCGATGGGGTTGCCGACGCGCGGCTGCAGGGCGGTGATGGGCTCCACACACGCCAGCAGGCAGTCGCTGAGGCCGCTCAGCGAAGTGTCGCCCTCCATCTCCTGAAACATGGGGTCGCTCCCTGTCGCCGCGACGACAAAGGGGGGAAGCGTCACCGTCAGTGCGACATTTGGTTAAGCTATTATTTTTTTAAATCCTTTATATTCAGTTCACTTGATTGCTTGCTTGCGCGCTTACGAACGTGCAAATCTTTCGGTCGTTTTTTAACCCACTTCCCGTGATCCAATCGAGCTGACATTTTGCACGCAGACTCGTTGTGCATGACAATTTATTTTCGTGAATTTTTTTAACAAAATTTTCAACATTTTAGGAAAAAAATAATTATATTTAATTACCAATTGCTTAATGGTGGCAGGCAATCATCTTACCCATAGGTGGCAGCCATCTCAAGCCAGAGGACAAGAGGACTCTAGCCGCCACGCATATAAAGGATTTATAGTGAAAAACTTTGTTTTTACGGGTTAATTTTTTACAACTTATTTCTCATACCGGGTAAGGCCCACTGAGCTAATGAACTCATTTTCAGAAGTGACCTGGCCACAAATGATAGCTCAACGAAGTGGCTTATTGTATGGAAATGCATTGCAGCCAAATTGCTTTCAACGCGTGATGTTGATTCTAAATGTGGAGGGGAAAAACCGGAGGACCCGGAGAAAAGTCCACGCGACCACGCGGAGAGAGACGCGCAAACTCCAAATACACAGACATCGGGGTCGGAATCGAATCCACAACCTCCTGAGTTAACATCTCGCCACCGGAGCGCCCTTAATATGGGCAACACGCGTGCCCAGCGCTTGCCCCTAACCCCGCCTCTCTTCTCCGTGCTCCGGGAACTCCGTACCGTAGGGGTTCATGGCATCGCCGGGCATCTGTGGGGGCGTGAGGCCCTGCTGGAAGGGGTCGGGCTGGTACGAGGAGGAGGCGGCCTCCATCACGTGCGCGTGCGGCAGCTGCGTGAATGGCGACATCATCCCCTCCATGGCGCCCGACATCATGTCGACGGGCGACGGCGAGAACACGTCCATCATCACTGCGCGGCCGCGTGCAGGGGGGGGGGGGGAGAGCGGTCGATCGTCAGCATCGTCATCACCGTCGTCGTCGTCACCGTCGTCGTCGTCATACATGATCAATCCACTGCTGCTGCTACTGCTCTTGCCGCTTCTACTACCGCTACAAGTATTGCTCCAGCTGCTAATGTCATGCAGACTCTTGCTACTATGGCTACTACTACTGCTGCTGCTGCTACTGCTGCTAGTGCCACTGCTGCTAGTACCACTATTACTAGTGCCACTGCTGCTGCTACTGCTGCTAGTGCCACTGCTGCTGCTACTGCTGCTAGCACCACTGCTGCTACTGCTGCTTGTGCCACTGCTGCTTGTGCCACTGCTGCTACTGCTGCTAGTACCACTATGACTAGTACCACTGCTGCTACTGCTGCTAGTGCTAGTGCTGCTAGTACCACTGCTGCTAGCACCACTGCTGCTACTGCTGCTAGTGCCACTACTGCCAGTACCACTGCTGCTAGCGCCGCTGCTGCTACCGCTGCTCGTGCCGCTGCTGCGTTCACCTTCGCCCTCCTCCTTCATGCGCCGCACCCCGCGTGCCGCCCCCCGGCCGGGCCCCAGGCGCTGCCCACTCTGGCCCTGCTCCTGCTGGATCTGCCGGCGCGCGAGCTTCTTCATCTGCACGCGGCAGCAGGCACGGGCGAGACAGGCAAAGACAAATATCCCCCACGTCGCCTGGGCACGCTGTTGGGGCAAGGGCTGTTCTAGCGAGCAGCACCTTGCCAAGGCCGGCACGGCACACGAGCGAGCGGGGGGGGGGGGGGGGGTTGGCCAGCGCCGTGCCCGACCGCCTTTGTCTCCTCGGTGGCGATGTTTACACACCGCAACATTTGAGGCTGAGTCTACCTAGGGGAGGCCCATGACCTGTTCACATAATCGTACTACCGGTGTTGGCCGGGAATCGAACTCGGATCGCCGGGTTCGTAGCGCGGTATGCTAAACACTGCATGACCGCTCCCCACACACACACACGTGCACACACACACGTGCACACACACACGTGCACACACACACGTGCACACACACATACACACATACACACACACGTGCACACACACACATGCACACATACACGTGCACACACACATGCACACACACACACATGCACACACACACACGCGTTTCACATGCGAGCACCTATCAAGGCTGCAGAGCTCCGTGGAGGGGCGTTGCAGGAAGAATCATGCACACGTGGCTGCCATTGCCTCCCCAGCGCTAATGTGTTCAGTGCTGAGTCGACCAAGGGGAGGGGTCCAGGAACAGATTCAGATATCGCTTGGCACTGATACTGGCCGTGGGAGGGAATCAAACCCAGGTTTTACTGGTTCATAGCGCAGTGCACTAAACACTCCCCTGCCACTCGCCACAATAAAAAGACAAAGATCCCCCGTAAAATCTTAACAGACTGCTGGGGCAAGTGCTTTTAGCGAGCGGCGATGAAGGCCAACACTGTGGCACACGAGGGGGTGGGTGGACAGCGTCACCCCCGGCCGCCTTTTTCTCCCAAGTGGCGATGTTTACACATCACACCAGGTACTCATTTGAGGCTGAGTCTACCTAGGGAAGGCCCAGGACCGGTTCAGAAAATCGTCGCCGGTGTTTGCCGTGAGCGGGAATCGAACTCGGGTCGTCAGTTTCGTAGCGCAGCGCGCTAAACGCTGCACTACTGCTCCCCACTACACACACACACATGCACACACTCATGCACACACACACATGCACACACACACGCGCACACGCACACACGCACACATGCACATACACACACATGCACACACACACATGCACACACATGCACACACATGCACACACACACGCACACACACACATGCACACACACACACATCCACACATACACACAGACATACGAACACGCCTGGATACTCTCGCACATTGCTCCAAATCAGCTGCCCTGCCAATTCCAACTCCGCCCTTCCTGCTCCCTCTGCCACCACCACTCCCTCTGCCACCCTCCCACATGGAGCGTCGTGCACGTTGGCTCACGATCTCTAAGTGATGTCACGTGGTCAGGGGCTGGGAGGGCGACGGGGTTTGGTGACGCGGGGTTTGTTATGACGACAGGAACAGTGACGGGGGGGGGGGGTCAATGACGTGGTTGTTGATGGTGACAGGGGTTGTTGACGCGGTGAGCGATGGTAAATGAAGATGGTGAAGGTGACTGGGTTGTAGATGATGTGGCTGGTGGTGGTGGTGGCGGCGGTGGTGGTAGTCATGACGATGGCGACCACATACCTTGGCTCGCTGGTTCTGGAACCACACCTGCACCACGCGTACGCTCAGCCCCGTCTCCGCAGCCAGGGACTCCCGCACCTGCAATGGAAGGGACGAGATGGGCGCGGGGTGGGTGGTGGGGGGCACGATGACCCAGGTTAGCGACAAAGAATCTTTGCGAGCCCTCTGCGGGTGGTGTTGAGACCCCCCCCACCCCCCCGCTCCCCCCTCGGCCTTCGTGGCGCCGCTCGCAAACTTCCAGTAAGCTCCCGCCATCGTCGTTCAACGCACGAAAAGTAACGCGTCCGTCCCGATCAACAAGCCGACGTCGGCCCAACGTCGGCTTGTGGTTGCGACCGCCGGACCAATGTTAGCCCCAACATTGCGCACGTCTGCTGGGATGTGGTGCGAAAGAAGACAGCTGTTGATCGGCGCACGTGACGCCTGCTGTGACACGCACAGCGATGCAAATAGGACGGTGCTCGCTAACAGGACACCGCGCCGACAGTCGACGTAGGGCTAGGCGGGGGATCTTTGTCCTCATCCCCGTAACCCAGAGGTCGCAACCGGGTACCCGATACCCGTACCCTACCCGAGTACGGGTACGGGTCGGCCGTGAGTCACTGGTGAGTAACCATTTGTCACTCATTTCAGGTAGGGTACGGGTAGGGAACGGGTACCTGTACCTGGCCGGGTACGGGTACGGGTAAGGAATCAAAACCCGTTTGCGACCTCTGCCGTAGCCGACTCTCGGGCCGGCGGCTCGTCGCCGTGCCGCGTGAGCGTTGATCAACGGGCGCGAGTCGAGGCACGTCCTATAGAGCGGTCGGGGGGGGGGGGGGATGACCCCCTTGCTCTCACCGTAATCATTAATCCCCACGCGGTGATTCGGAGCCGCGCGACCGCAAGTGGTCCGTGGTACAGAAAGATGTTTGTTCGCTGGGCCGTGGAGAACGTATCTCGTGGGCTCGGCGCGGCCGAGATTGCCGCGAGGTCGGCCCGGTGAAGCGTTTCCCCCGGGGGAGGGGTTTTCGTTCTGCCGCTCCGCCGATTCGCCGACTCTCCCAGCGCCGCTGCGACGTCGCGATGTGCTGACTTCAGCTCTGTGCTGAGTTGTTCCCCCCCCCCGCAACCCCCACCACCTCACTGTCATCATCGTAAATCGCGCCGTCGTGAGTTGAAGAGCCCTCTGGTTCTTGAGCCCAGACCTCGCCACGGAAATTGACGCCATGGAGTCCGGATGGGCCGCCCTCACCCCGACGCTCGATGGGCTGCGCGTTCTGCGCGTAGATCCCACTCGCCCACGCGTCAGTGGCCAGGTGAAATCGCCGATGTTCGCATCGGGAGCTGCTGCGCGAGGCCAAACTAGACGAATGGCCAAACGTGTTCTTCTGCAGACCGTCAAATCCACAATGCTTGAGAGCCACGGACTAATTCACGGCGGGCTGGAACACAGATTCGAGCCCAGGATCTCAGCGGTGGCGGTCTCCTACCCGACTTAATCTGGATGATACAAATAAACACGCCAGAGTCCATCTCTGCATTATAAAATTCTATATTTTTTCGGTCCATTGGCCGTTTGGCCTTGTCGAGAAATGCTTTACGGCAGCGTTTGTTGGAGCATTTTTGACGCTCATCAGCCCATTAAACAACTGTCTTTATGTTTTTGATGGGTCCATTGATCCAGAAGACCCACGTGGACTTGTGGACTGAAGGGGAAAATACCGTAAATGACATCGCTGTAATGTGAAGAGATGAACTTTCGTTTGTTTACTTATTTACTTACACGGTACCCTTTATAGGGGGGCATAGCAATCAACCCCGCCCCTCCCACAACTCACTCCCCGGCGATTTGGTTAATCCTCACAACTCGAGATCGATTCCCGTCTCCACATCGCAGTGAAGGTCACGGCCCCTAGCGGCTGCAGAGGTCCACCTGAAGCTGAACGCATCACGCGCAACGCCTACGAATGTCACCGCGACCGTCGATCCCAGCGCACGTGATTCGGCACGTGATCCGGCACGTGATTCGGCACGTGATCCGGCACGTGATTCGGCACGTGATCCGGCACGTGATTCGGCACGCGGAACCGTCACCGTCGAATCGCCACATCGTTACCCGCCCCCCCCCCACCCCCCGGCGCCGTCCCCGCGGTACCCACTGTATCCCGCGGTGGCTCGTTAACCCTGCCAATTACAACTTTGACCTTCAGAAGGTCCCCTGAGCGGCACGCGTCCGCTGCGAAGTACCAGCGCCGCAGATGACGAGCTCGCGGTCCGCGAGGTGGGGGGGTTGGTGGGTGGATGAGGTTGGGGGATGGTGGTGGATGAGGTGGGGGGGGGGTGGAGGAGGGGGCCGCTCGTGGCGCCAGGACGACGCTCGTTGTTTGCCGAGCGGCGGCGGCGGGTGAGCGCGACGCGGCTCGAGAGGGAAGGCGCCTCTCCGCGTGGCCCCGTGTGTGTTTGCTGAAACGCGACACTGCGCGGCGTGCTGACAGCGCCGCCCGTCCCTGCCGTTGACAACGCGCTCTGCCCCCCCCCCCACTGGGCACGTGAGTCACAATCGCGATGTCCCTCCCGACGCTGCTGGGGATTTTTGCTCCGGCGGTCCAAGTCCGCCGCGGGTCGCGTCGTTGAAGCGCTGCAGTGCGCCCTGCGCTCCGTCAGTAAGAGAATCTCCCCCCCGGCGTCTCGCGCTTACCGAAGCCCTCTCGTCGTGGCACAGCAGACCTCGACTTTGGCGTCGAGCTCCAGCACGTATTGGCGTACGCACGGATGGAATGGAATTACTACGACTGAACTTAAACTATTTAACTAAAAAAAACCTTTTTTTAAGGTAAGGCCCACTGAGCCATGAAGCTCTTTTTCAGAAGCAACTTGGCCACAAATCATAGCCCAACGAAGTTGGATTATCACATGGAAATGTATAGCAGCCAAATACTCTGTAAACTCCCGTTTTAAAAATGTGGAGGGACAAAACCGGAGGACCACGGGGAGAGTGACATGCAAATTCGAAATATGCAGACGTCAGCGTTGGGATCGAACCTACGACCTCGTGCGTACCATGCGAGGTAGTTAACATCTCGCCGGCTCCGTCAATCCACTGCTGGATGGGGCGGTCACTGCGGTGGGTTGGTGACGACCACGTTGCGCTTGCACGCAAGTCGTAACAATCCCCCTAAGAGGCTCATTTGCTACAGGGGGGGGCAGCTGCAGTTAGCGAGCTCCTATTGAGGTGGTAGAGGTTCACGCGGGAAGCCGGTGCAGCCAGGAGCATGCACACCAGTATAGCGGATCGCATATCGACCGCCACTGATGTCAGCCGAGTTGGGGAATTGAATTCGGGTGGCCGGATCTCATAAGCGCATTGCACCACCGTCCCCACCCTGGTATTTCCGGCGTCATCTCTCGTGCTGCGACGGGCCTGATCAAGGTGTCCGCGTCCTCTCTCTTTGAGAGCTCTCTCCCCCCGAAGGCGGATTTGCCAGGAGGTCATAGGAGTTTCCCTCGGGGTCTCCTGCATTCTCTCCTGAAGCCAAACATCGCGAATATGTCGTGAACTTCTTTCGCACCCGTACGTGGCCAACCGCGCTGACCGGAGGCGAGGGGCAAGGACAGCAAACTAAACACAAGAGGCAAGGCCAGTGCGTCTCTGGACTGGTTTCGACATGCAGCATCTCATCAGCCGAGTCAGGCCCGCTTCAATGCCGGTGAACTGCCCATCTTGCAAGCGAGGACCCCTCTCTTGACGACATGGATCGTAGCGCGACGGAAAATGATGCTCTCTATAACAGCGGTCGGCAAACCAAAAAAAAACAAGAAGAGCCAATGTCTGCGTTGACGAATTGTAACGGATCACCAGCGTGTCGGTTTGCGTTCAGGCGGCGCGTGGCTCTCCAACGGAGCGTTAACCAAGGTGGTTTGTTTTCTTTTTCTTTCGGGTGAAGATTGTTGTTCTAGCGAAGGTTGTTGTTGTTGCTGTTCATGTACGTATGCTGAACTTCTTCCACACCGTACATAGCCAACCGTGACAATCAGAGGTGCCGGGGTGGTAGTAGCGAGTGCTGCGTAGTTGATTGTCCACGTGTGCTCTTTGGGGATCAGGCCGTATTTTGACATCACACGCCCTTAACCCTTCCCCCTCCATTCATTGCCCCCTTTCAGGAATATACATCTTAATTCAAGGATTTACTGTGGAGGTACGATTCATTGTCGTTTGATGCCACAAGTAATGAAGTTTACAAAGACGTTTCAGATACGAACACGTAGCTCACAAACGTGAAGAAAATTACGATGCCTGTGATTGGTAGTTATTCCCAGACATACAAATGAAGAGACGGACACATGGACAAGCAAACACAGGCTTGGAGGGAAGGCCAAACGGATGGATGGATGGACGGTCAGACGAAATTATAGACGGCCAACAGACAGACAGGCAGGCAGACGGACGAATGGATGGACGAAGGAGAGATGGATGGACAGATGGCCGGGTGGACGTTCAGACAGTCGGGCAGGCAGGCAGGCAGACAAATGGATGGACGAAGGAGAGATGGATGGACAGATGGCCGGATGGACATTCAGACAGACAGACAGGCAGTCAGGCAGGCAGACAAACGGACGCTGAGACGGACGGACGGACAGGCACCTTGCGGCAGGGCTTGGAGGAGACTTCAAAGGAGGCTTTGAAGGCCCGCCGCTGCTGTGTCGTCAGGATGGTCCGCGGCCTCTTGGGCCTCTTGGGGTCCTTCTCGTCACTGCCGCTGCCGCCCCCCCCGCCGCCCCCTCCCTTGGCCCCGGGGGCCCCGCCCGGGCTCCCCTTGACGCCGTCCTCGTCCTCGCTCTTGACTGCGCGCACACGCACATGGTGGGGTTGGCGGATCACGCGCGGATTGGCGGCGGGGGGGGGGGACAATGATCAAGTTGGCGGTAGGGGCAAGCAGGTCACTGGTCAACCCTCGGGTTGCTAGCCCCATCGTCATCGTCGTCGTCATCGTCACTCCAGGTTCAGTATGATTATTACGCGATAAATGGAAAGTTCTGCGATGAAAAAAACTTCCGCGGTTTAATTCTACGGTGAAATAGTGGACATCATCACAACACACGCAGCCTCTCGCCCGACACTTCACCCAACAACAACGATTTTCATTCACACTATTTGTATTTTAGCAGGTAAGGCCCACTGACCGATATAGCTCTTTTTCAGAAGCGACCTGGCCACAAATGATAGCTCAACCAAGTGGCTTATCAACACGCGGAGATGTTAGGCAGCCAAAAACTCGATAAACCCACATTTCTAAATGGAGATAAATCCGCGCGACCACTGGGAAAGAGACACGCAAACTCCAAATTTTGCAGGCGTTAGGCGCTCGGGATCAAACCCACGGCCCCCTGTATACCAGGCGAGGTAGTTAACATCTCGCCACCGTGGCGCCCCAGATATCGTCAAGAGAGGGACCCCTTGCCCTGTCAGATTGGCAGCTCGCCCGGATCGACTCAATCAAGCCTTGCTCGAGAGACGCGCCGCGTGTTCAACCACCAGTTCAGAGTTTTGCTCGTCTTGAAACAGCTCCTCTGAAATGACGCGCTCCAAGGAGGGTCGCGCGGCTGACATTATACAGACTATATTATACCTGATAATTGTTTTTTTACCCTTCTATTTGGCAACAAAACTGACACTTTTTTTTACAAGGAGTCATGTTTGCATAGACCAGAATACCTGCAGTCATAATGCAAACAAAAAACGTCAACTGGTCCAACCCATGTGAGACTAGGCTCTAAGGAAAGCTGTCTCGGGTGTGGACCAATCAACTTCAAGGACAGTGCACATTATCATAGTTATGTTTTTTGTTTGCATTATGGCTGCAGGTATTGTGGTCTATGCAAACATGACTCCTTGTAAAAAGGTGTCAATTTTGTTGCCAGATAGAAGGGTAAAAAAACAATTATCATATTTTTTACTGGCAAATGAGGTTCCAATGGTATATTATACCTGCCAAGGAGACTTGTTGTGCGGTTATTTATTTAACCAACAAAAGAAGTCTCGCGTTCGAGGAACGGGGTACTTCGCGGTCACCGATGGCTTCCTCGCGGGATGCGCAAGTGACCCTCCATCCCCCCCCCCCCCCCACGTTTCTCCCCATGCGTGTCTGCGCGTCTAACACACGCACGCACGGCGGCGGCGGCGGCGATCGGATCCGCTCGGAATGTTTGACATGGGATTAGCGGGGGGGACACGTGCGCTCACAAACATTCACTCAATACCCGATAGATACGAGACGCTCACAGAAACACATCTGTTTCTGCTTTTCCACCACCCCTGCCGCCCCCCCCCCTATTGACTTTGTATTCGGTGAAATGGATTCATTACGAACCCTGCACTCGGATGTCTGTTCTAAAAATACTACCCCGATGATCTTGTGATGAACGGGGGCGGAGGGGGGGCCCACAATGTCATTGGGGTGCTCTTGCCAACAACATCTGGCCGATCCAGCGGTCAATTGTTTTCCACAAGCCTCACTGATGAGACCCAGGAGGTCGAAGCCGGTGGACAGTTTGCCCGCGTAAACGAACGCTGCGTTCGTAATATTGCGTTGGAGAGCCAGTCGGCTGATGGGACTAAAATGTTGTTATTCATGTGTGTAGATGGAACGGGGGTTTCTGTTTATATTTGCTGAAGAAGCAGTGGTTGGGTGCCTCTGTGGGGCTCATAACGGCCCTGTCGAGAGCGCTTGAGCCAGCGCCACCTGGGAGAGATCCCGGGTTTAAAACCTTTGGCGTGCCACCTGCAATTAGAAACCGAGTTCCTAAGCGGAGTCGTCTCATCTGGCTACCACTGACCGCACACCAGATGGTCGATGTGCATTTTGACCGCGTGCTTCTGCTTTGCTTAACGCTCTGACCCTGTACGATGTTGAGTGTGAACTTTTTGACATCTCTACGGTTTTATTTCGTTGTAATCCACGTCTCCTTAAAAAAATTAAAACACGTGTATTTATTTCTTGTTTATCTTAAGAGGGCTCTCATCTGTTTTGTTTTTTATTTAAGGATCTGAGTGTATGTATGTATTTTGAACTTTTTCGCACCATACGTAATCGGAGGTGCGGGGAAAGGCCGACAGTGTGACTGATATTCAGATTTTGGGTAGAGGGGGATTGTGGGAAGAGGACGGTTTGGGAAGAGAGGGATTGTGGGAAGAGAGAGGGATTTGGGGAGGATGCCGAGAAGGGCAAGGGCCGCGAGTGTCCGGATGCTGGCGAGCGCCGTGCACGTGGGTGGCTGCTCGACGGCGTGGCGGGAGGTCATGGTGCGCTGCACGCCGAGAGCGAGCGTACACACGTGTGTGTGTCTGCGCGCGTGTGTATACGCGCGCGTGTGTGTGTGTGTAAGTAGAGAGGCCCCATTAATTACAAAACGCACAGATACAGTGCGCGAGGCGGCTGGGTAGGCGCTGCGGCTCAATGTCCCGTCTTGTGGGGCCATTGCGACACTGCGTTTTTTGGGCTGACACTGGTATTTTTAGGCTGTTTTTTTTTCTCGGTGCGTGCGTGTTGTTTGACGGTGTGTGTGTGTGGGGAGCAGTAGTGTAGCGGCTAACATGCTGCGCTACAAGCCCAGTGGGACCTGAGTTCGATTCCCGCTCTCTGCCAACACCGGTGATGACGATCTGAAGCGGGTCCTGAGCCCTCCCGATGAATGTATGTTGAACTTCTTTCTGGTGCGGTGTCCAAACATCGCCACTCGGGAGACAAAGGCGGCCAGGTATGGTGCTGGTCACCCACCCTCCCGTTTGCCATCCCGGCATTCATAGGTGCTCGCTAACAGCACATGCCCAACAGTCTTCTGAAGGCTATATGGGGGATCTTTGTCTTTTTGTCAATGCGGGGAGCTGCAAGTTACCGCACCCGAGTTAGATTCACGCTCACGACCGATAACAGCGGCCAAAATCTGAACCGGCCCTGGGCCTCGCTTAGGTCGACTCAGCCTTAAATGAGTACTTAGTACAGTGTGTAAAAAAAAACATCGGCACTGGGGAGACAAAGGCAGCCAAGTGTGATGGCTGAAACACAACGCCCTTACGTGCTGTGCCAAACCCCAAATGGGTGCTCGCTAACAGCGCTCGCCCCAACATAGGGGGATCTTTGTCTTTGCATATCGAGTGAAAAGCGCCACAGCCCCAGCAATCTGGGTTCAATTCCTGGCCGCAGCACTCGCCGCCGTGGGTGGTAACCTGGCATGGGTTTCCCCGGGATTGACCCGGCATTAATTGTGCGCTTGGCAAGGTTGTGGCTTAACATCAGCACGGTGGGTGGTGGTGGTGGTGGTGGGGGGGAGAAAAAACGGCAGTCAAGGCGTGGCTGGTGCGGGTCCCTGGCCCTGCAGGTTCCCAGATGTTGTCGTTGGTGATCGCCACACGGTGGCCGTTCGGAATGCCAGCGAGGCGAAACGCGGCTCCGCTGAGCGTCGCTCGCCAACAACCGGCAAGCAACAGGCACAGCGGTTCGTGCCGCGCCGCGTTCTTCCCCGCGACAGCCATCACCAGCGGCAAGTTTATATTCCGACCGAATCCTGGTCCTCCTCTACATCAACAGAGGAAGCCCCGGCGTGGTTCTTGCCACACCGTCTACCCGTGCCGCCGTTCCGTCCTGTCACAGGCGCCAACATTCTACGCACGTTTCACGGCGGCGCGTGCGCCTGCAAATTTCTATTCCGGCGTTAGTGTTGAGCCCACAGCGACAACAATAATAACAACCGCGTGAGCGCGCGGCAGCATCGTCGGCGCGATTGTGGAGCCGAGGCTTTGTTTGTTTGTCGCTCGCCGAACTCAATGCCCCCCCCCCCCCGCGCTGCCCACGCCGCACAGAGCCGCCCTTTGTGGCGGCGGTGCCTGGTGCCGGTCCCGGGGCCGGCCTGGACGTTTCAAGGTCAGCGAGGGGTTTGGCGGCCAGGGTTGGGGGTGGGGGTGGCGGCACGCCACCTCGGGTGAGGATCAGAAAACCCCCCCCTCCCCCCCCTCCCCCCCCCATTCGCACGCTGGCGCAAGCCAAGACGAGGGTTCCCCCCTGACGTAAATCGGTGCTCGTTGACAGCACCCGCACCGACGGTTCGCCTGAACGTACAATATGCACATTGCACGTGTCCGTGCGCGCAGGTACACGTATGTATGGCTGTGCGTATGTGCGCACGTGTTGACACGTGTGTATGTGTGTGTATGACCTTGAGGTAGTGTAGCGGTTAGTGTAGCGGTTAGCGCGCTGCGCTATGAACCCGGGGGCCCAAGTTCGATTCCCGCTCTCGGTCAACACCAGTGACGATTATCTGAATCGGTTCTGGGCCTCCCCTAGGTCGACTCAGCCTCAAATAAGTACGTGGTGCAGCCTCAAATGAGTGTGTAAACATCGCCACTCGCGAAGGTGGCCAGGCGTGGTTCCTGGCCACCGACCCCCTCCTGTGCCATGCCGGCCTTCAAAAGTGCTCGCTAACAGCATTTGCCCAAAAAGTCTGTTAGGGTAGGGTGCTGTCGTGCTGAGTTGTGAACTCCCTCGCCTGGTATACAGGAGGTTGTGGGTTCAATCCCGACCCTGATACGTGAATATTAGGAGTTTGCGTGTCTCCCTCTCCGTGGTCGCGTGGATCTTTCTCCAGGTCCTCCGTTTTTTTCGCCTCCACATTTGGAATGAACATTCGCTTCAGAGCATTTGGCGACCATCAATTTCCAGTTGTGTACAAGGCTAGCCGGCGGGGGCGGGGAGAGGGGGGGGGACGGCGGGTAGGCCAAAATGTGCAATCTTCCCCTATCCGCCGTTGTTCGCTCCTCGTGCAACGCAGCTCGCTCGCTCGCTCGCTCGCTCCCCCCGCCGCCCCCCCCCCTCCTCACCGGAGTCGGAGGCGTCGGGGCTGGCGGAGCTGAGCATGTCGCGCTCGCGCTCGTAGTCGGGCCGGCAGAACAGTTGTCCCTCCTTGAGCACGAACTCGTCGCCCTTGCGCAGCGGGCGCTCGCACACGCAGCAGCTGAAGCAGCCCAGGTGGTAGACGCTCTCGAGGGCACGCATCACCAGCTCCGACGGCGCCACGGAGCCCATGCAGCCGGCGCACTTGCGGCCAAACAGCCTGCGGAGAGGGAGAGCGAGCGGGGTGAAGCACAGTCCGCGATAACCACGCGAGACGCGTAACGCGAGATGCCGAACAAAGACTGAGGCGCCTGGGTAGCTTCTAGAAGCATCCAGCAGCATCCCACCGCTTGTTGCTACTCGCGCGACGCGGTTCTGTTCACTCGATCGCGTTATATACAATTCGCATCCGCGTTATAAAAAGTGTATTCCCCCACATATTGATCGCGCCCCATAAGCGTTATGAAATCAACACGTGGCACTATGGGCTAACAGACTGCACGCACGTACAGTCGTTCGTTTGTTTCCATCCGTTCAGTTTCAGTCGTCAATTCGTTCGGTCGTTCGTCACGGGAAGCTACCGTGAACCACCGCCCCCCCCCCCCACACCTCCTCCGAGTTACAGACAGGCAGACAGGGCTAATGCATTAACGCTTTCAGTCTTAGTTAAGGTGGGGGGGGGGGGGGGTGGGAATACATACTATCGCAACGAGGCTTTCACGGAAAAATAACAAAGGTGCTATTGTTACGATTATGATTATTGTTCTCATTCATAAACCTCTTCAGACTAACTGAACAGCGGCGCAGCCCAGCAATGCCCCCCTTTTTCTCTCCTAAACCTCACGTCGGAGCATTTTGAATGGAGCCACTGTAGCGATGTTGGCCACGGAACGCCCGCGCTTGAGCCACATTTCCACGGCTCTCGGTGGAAATAAACATTTCCTAGCTGCTTTCTTTTTCATTGCATGTGGCTTTAATTCTCATGGCTACACAGAAATTAAATTGGGGCTAATGCTAATTGACCTTTATGGCAGAGTTGCGCACACACACACACGCACGCGCGCCCGCGCACACAACTATCATGTAACTAGCATAATTAACTAACGCACACACACAAACACAAAACAAAAGAGTTTTTCATTTTAGCGGTTGACAAAAAACATATTTGTACAGTTTGTAACCCCCCCTCTCTCCCCACCCTTTTTATGTAGTTTGGTGGTACATTAGGATCATCAACTCACCAGCGTTTGAATATTCCATGGGTTGAAAGGGGCGCTGCACCGTGAACCACGCGGCTTGGGTTCTATTCCAGACTATGGCGAATATCAGCGAGGACCAATGTCTGAACCGGTCCGAGCACCTTCCCTGAGATCAACTCCGGAGGTTACCCGGTGTTGGTGCGGTGTATAAAACATCGGCACTGGGTAGACAAAGGCGGCTAGGCATGGGTGCCATCACCTCGCGCGCCGCGCACACCTTAATAGGCGCTCGCTCGATGAACTTTCGTTGTCCTGTACTACGCTTCCACGTCTATGCTCCCCTGCCTGCACCAACCCACCCGTTGAGAGTGTGTGTTGGCGCTCCTATTGTCAAGATGAAATGCAGTGATTTGGCTTGAGCCTCCGTTTCCGGAAACATCCCCCCATGGTGTTTAGGTCTTAGTTCAGAGTGGATTCGATGTCGTTGAAAGTGGCTGCTTGCGTTGCCAGGGCAAGGCGATCCTGAAGAAGAGGAGGAGGAAGAAGAAGCAGCAGCACCAACTCACCCACACCGAGCAGCACGGTGAAGTATGGTCAAAAGGGGGCCATGCGCGGGGAGGGAACGGCCCGTTTGGGTGACGCAGCCGCCTGCCACCGCGCCACCGCCGGCGTTCAAGGCTCGCCGATCGGTAACCGGGGGCGCAGGAGCCATTCCCAGCCTTGGTGCCGATAATAGCTCGGGGTTCCGTCTGTCGGCCATGCCAGCGATTCCCCGCCGGCATGGCCGGCAGGCATAGTGAGCGCCGGCGACCGGCGGTTGCCCACAGCCTTCTGGGATTTCGACGACACCGGGATGCGCCACGGGGTTGACGGGGCAAAACCACCCGGTGAACGTGCCACTGGTGGGGGCCCAACGTTGGCCCAGGGATTGGCCAAACGTTCACTGGGTTGCTGTGAATGTGTCGTCTTGAGTGGTGGTGCATTATTATTATTAATACTACGCAACCAGGACTTTTAAATTCTCGGGAAGACCCTACAGATTTCCCAGGACAGCAGCTGCCTCAACAACAAGAGGAAGATCTTGGGAAAATGAGGACAGGTGGTAACCCTAGCCGTGACATCAGTTTTGCTCCAGGCCACAGCCAACAATGTTTGTAGCCATATCATATCCTTATGTAGACAATGTGTGAGGACACACGGAGATGTATTTATGCAATAGACACGGAGAGAAAGAGAGAAAGGGATAATGACTGACTTTAGCCCTGTGTCAATGCACTGCTGGAAGAAGGCCTTCCCACGTTACGGAGGTCGTGGAGGTCATGTGACGCTGGTCAGAGCCGGTTGGTGGAGAGAGGGCCCAGCACCGGATTTGATGCCACTGGCTGCTGATGTTAGCTGTGGCTGGGAATCAAACCGAGGTGCGAAGGGTTCACAGCGAAGTGTGCAATACACGCGGGCCTCTGCTTCACCCGAAAATGTGATCTACACCGAAGCCGAGGGTCCCTATTCAGTGACCAGCGACCCGCTGCACTACCGCTCATTGCACACACACACACACACAAGAGAGGGTGCCCCATGTAGCTTTGAACAGAATGTTGGCCTAAGTGCTGTTAGCGAGCACCGGTGAAGGCCGGCACGGCACACGAGAGGATGGGTGGCCAGCACTACGCCCGGCCACCTTAATTTTTACACACCGCACCAGGTACTCATTCAAGACGATTAGCACGCTTGGCTACACACGGTGCAGAAGGGGTTCAAGTGAAGGCCGCGTTGACCTAAGGCGAGGCCCCACAATGTTTGTGGCCACGAGCGGGAATTGAACCGGGGTCACCGGGTTCGCAGCGCGGCGCGCTGACCGCTGCGCCACCGCTCCATCCACAAAACACGCACTCGCGCACTCCGTGTCCGTACATTTGAGAGAACGCACACGCGGACGTCAAAAAATGCGTCCTTCGGCAGTGCGCCAGAAAATAATGCACTTCCCTCCGCTCGCAGAGTGGATGCGCCGAGCACTCAACCCTTGCAGGCGCGCACTGAACACGACACCCGCCCCGCGCAAATGTGCTGCGAAAATCCTGCAAATCACGCAAACCGTCTTCCGGTAGAGAATTAATTATATAAGCTCTCTCTTGCCTCGATTGTGGCATATAAATTTCGTGCCTTTTTTTCTTCACCCCCCCCCCCCCCACACGCGCACACACGCCACGACCAACCTTTAAAAGAGAAGAGAGGGGAGGAGGAGGAGGGCCAACAGCGAGGGCAGTAAACACACGAAGCGATAAGTGATGCTTTTGAGCATTTGCCAGGAACTGTCATCGGCTGGTCATTAGACTCGGCCACCTGGGATAATTCAGCCACCGCTGCCGCTCCACTCAACCAACGCAACTTCCCCTTCAGCCCCCACCGCCTCCCCCCCCACCTCACTCCAGCACCACCTGCAGCCCTCCCTCCCCTCGCCTCCCTCCCTTCCCCTCCCCTCCCCTCCACCGCTCCACGACCGCCGCCGCCGCCAGTCGCCACCGACAAGTCCGGCAGAGACAATGAGGTGTAAAGAGGCGATCGCTCGATGGGTCTGGGTGGCTGAGCCCACGTGAAGGTGCAGGAGGGGGGGGCGTGAGCGGAAATGGAGGGTTCTCAAAGAGTCGCGAACGAGTCCGTCGCAAAAAAATCGCTCACCGAGCGCGAAGAAGTCGCCGGCCTCACGCGCGCCGGAAAGGGGGAAGGGCCCCCCCACCCCCCCCGATTGACGAGGAGACACGTGAACACCACCAGTGCCACGATCAATCCAACTGACGTATAAAAGCCTCCCCAAGCCGTCGGCATCTCTCGCGGCCCCACGACGCGACAATTCGCCCGGCAGCTGGCGCGACGGGTCCGTCTCCACAGCTCCATCCCCGCGAGCGGACGCCCTCCCTCGGCCGGAGAACCTCTTCGTTACTCCCGACCGCCGGCCGTCAATCGTTCCGAGCCGACCGGCAGTCCCAACACCGAGCGATGTCACCTGCGCTCAATTATCCGACACCTGGCGCAGGTGACGGTCAGAGTGCACGGAGGCGCCGGCATTGTGTGAGCTCGCGCGCTCGCACAATGCCCGCGTGTCCACTCGTCCACGAGTCAAACGCACGCCTCGTGTGGCGCGGTCAGGCCGTGGCGTCCGTGCGCCTCTCAGCTTGGAGGAGGACGCCGGGGAGGAGGAACCTTGCCTCTGCCACGTGCCGCTGTTTGCATTTTTCCACCTCTTGATTCCTGCCGTTAGATTCTCTCCAGCGAAGAGGCAATCGAGGGCCCTCCGCCCCACCTCTTATCTCCCGCCTCTACCCCCTTCCCCCTCTGTAATTACCACTCGGCTTTGTGCAACGCCAGGGACAATGTGTGCATTGTCCGCACCTTAAGGGTGGCATTATTGCCACTCGCATCAGCTTTCAAAAACACAAAGCTGTGTCAAAGTCAACACGGAGGTGGCGGCGGTGGTGGCGGCGGTGGGGTTTGTGTCCGCCGCTGTGCTCTGCTGCCCCGAGTTTATAGAAACCTCGGCGCGTTTCTCCGCGCGTTTCTGAGACAACAATAACAGCGGTTCGAGCCCCTGGCCGCTTGCCGAGTTCATCGTCGGTGACATATTTCAGTTTTATTTTCGCTCCACGATTGCAATTTGTCTATGCGCGCATTTAAGTCAAAATCGAATAAAATAATCCCGCATTTTGAAAGTAATCGCAGGTCGTTTTTGCCGTTTGGATTCAGCCCCCTGCTATGGCGTCGGCGCACTCACGTCCTGCTCTTGCGAGTGATGTCACAGGGCCTCTGATGTCCACGATGCCTTTTACTCCATCCGCATGGCATCTGCATTTGCCCAAAGGCATAAATCTCAAGCATCCATGTGCTCCGACTCATTCTACACTATATAAGAAAGGCAGAGCAATTTACAACACTGTACACACGTATAGCCTCATAGACGTATGTTCACATACACCTACATCCCTTTCCTCGATCCACAGCTGGATGACAACCTCCCCATGCCTTGCAG